AATTAATATACTGATTTTTTTAAACTTTATTTTACACATGATAAACATATATATAATTTAAATCCATTTGTTTTTCTGCTCCAGTTATTAGAATTTCAAATCTTGCAGAGATAATATAGATCATTACAAAAGTAAAGTATTCATTACACTTCCATTCTCAACATTTTATAATTTAACATTATAGACATAATGAACAAATACAATATCAAAGTTTCGAAAGACTATAACTAATAGACTACCTAATACTCTTACAATGTAAAGTAAATATCGATTGAAAAACATTATATATATATATATATATATATATATATATATATATATATTATTGACAACACAACTCTAACAAATACCTAGTCATTAATGTTGTATATGTGTAAGTGTTTTTATTGTGCAAACTACATTATTTTATTTGAAAATTTGTATACAAACTCCTAGGCTTATTGATTTATTCCCTTATTGGTCAAGTTTCCATCAATATAAACATTTTCATAGTTATATCCTATATATAATGATTAAGTTGATGAATAAAGCAGTTCTTTTAGGAGAGTTTAATTATGTTTAAAGTGAAATAGTTACTAACCACTAGCATTTGATAAACGTTACTCTAAATTGAAAGTTTCAAATTTGTGGTTGTCGATCACTTGATGCTAACAAAATGATTAGAGAATTACTCAATCATCACAAATATGAAACCTCAAGCTGGATCATCTTTGCATACTGTTAAGGAATTTTAAATATGGATGAAATATCTAATTCATTTCTCCTTGATTTTCAGTAGTTGCTCAGCTGTTGTCGATCCATGACGAAAATCATCTAAGCATTTAACAAGTATTTTACTCCAGTTTCTTTTGAACCCCTGTCTTAAAGGATACCAAAAATTCAAGGCCATGGAATTACGTTCAATATGAGTAAACTGTGTAGGATATCATCAAACAATGTAAACTGTTTATGTTTGCTGGTGAAGTAGATAATAAACCGTTTAAATGGGACTCGTGATTAAATATAATTTTAAATATAATATTCACTACAATAGATTCGTATACTTGGTTTGATTGAAGAAAGGTAATAAAAACAATAATTATTCTTAGAAATACGAAATATGTAAGAATAAAGCAAATATATTCAAGCTGCTTTTACAATTTGCTCAATTAAATACGTTAAAAATCATTTGGAATCTACCACATACTTTTCTTAATGTTATTTATTACAATGTGCTTCTAGAAAAGCATGCATTTCTAACCATTGGGAAGAAAATTGCAACCAGTCTGGTGGATTATATTTTTAATTAATTTATCAAACAAACTGATGATATAATTAAATCCACTTGGTATTTTTTGCTTGAATCTTCCCACTGATGTTTTGGAATGCAATTGATCAGTCTCATATTGGCATATGTGCATACTGTGTGCATTGCCTTGATATTGCATTAATTCACGAGCATTATAAGCAAAGATGAATAGTGGCTAGTAGTAGAATCCAGGACGCGCGTTTAGTCCTACTTGGGACTCGTCGGCTGGATGTACCTGCATCTTAGAATTGATGTTGACTCTGGGACTCGAACTCAGTACCGTTCGCGTCAAGCACCATCGAGTCATCCATTTAGATACTGAGTCCTGATATCCATTTGCTTGTACATTAAGGCAATATCGAGGCAACACTCACAGTTTGCACATATGCCAATCAAATACTGATCAATTGTAATTCTAAACATCAATGGAAAGATTCAAGCAAACAATGTAAAGTAAATTTAAATTTCATCCCATTGCACAAGCAAGTGGCTATCGGGACTCAGTAGCTAAGTGGATATCGCGATGGCGTTTGAAACGAACGGTATTGGGTTCGAATCTTGGTGTGAACATCGATTCCGAGATGCAGATACATCCAGCTGACGAGTCTCAAATGAAACGAGACGTGCATCATGTATTCCACTGCTAGCCACCATCAATCTCTGCTTATGATGATATAGTTGACAAGCCTAAACAAAAGTAAACTATTGGGTGGTCGATTTCACTAAAACTTGACGTCGACTGAAAGTACACTAAAAACATAGGAACTCTTGAGAGATATTTTGTTGCATTTGGGTTCTTCACGTAACTATTAACCTTTTACACCAAATGATACTGAATCTAGGATCCATAAAAAATGATTATCAAAAGTATAATTTACAGTTTCTAATTAACATACATTTGAAAATTGTTGGCATTGATCGGTTTGAATTTTACAAATCTCTTTTTTATTGTTCACTTTAAATAAAGCTTATATTCAAAGGTTTCAAAAGGAAATATTTCATGTCAGAATCAAATTCAAACTGCTGTCTGAAATCATTTTCACTACTTACATCAACAATTGCATGTTTTTGTGTTACATAATATGACATATATTCGATATAATATTACAGATAATGTTTTAGATTTAATCGATAAAAACAATATCTGACTCGTAATACAATTAAACCATACAGTAATGTTGGTTCAAATACGTTGATTAGATGACTTTAAGAGATAACAAATATATAATTATAGTGAAATGCCTTTTACTAATAACAATTCACTATATCATTGAAAAATATCTAAAAATAGATGGATGGTATGTTTATATATACGTATGAAATTCATAGATTTTGTTCTACGTGCCCAGAATATTTTCACGAACTATTCGTTTGTATGTATTGTTTGTTTTCATATTAAGCTAATGCAAATACTTATTTTTACACGAGCGTATGTGTGGTTCATGTATTCAATGAGATTGTTCTACTATCTTACATAGTAAAAGATCAAAGTAAATACATCGAAATGTTAACAAAATTTTTTTTCACATTATAGTTCAAATTACATCGTAGTCAACAAAATGAGGTTAACATTACGAACAATAATAGGAACAATAACAGGGCGGATTCGCATGCATATGGCATATAATTCTTTCTGAACCTAGCACACAACAATAGCATCATGTACTGTCCCATCGCTCTTGGCAGATCAGGCAACCTGAAAGTTACGAAAACACCATCAGGGCATACGACGGGCTAGATAGCCCGGTTAACATTAAGGACTAGACAGTAAACGTTTAGACAATAAGTTATCTTAGTTCTATTACGAAAACTTGTTTTTACGTACTAAACGCAAACTCATGATAAAACATTAAATTCATTCATAAATACCTATGATGATATAATTTTCGACATAGAATTAATTTCATAATGTCATTGAAAATCTAAATTTTATTTGATTAATATCAGAATGGTTTTTGTGAATATCGTAGTAATTTAAATGGTTGAGATCATAAGTCATTTGAAGTTCAATTGACTCATGATCTCAACCATTGACATTTTTTGTTTGAATCAAAAACTAAAGAAATTGAAAATATGAAAATAATATCAATAGGTTCTTTTGGAATAGTTTGTATAATGAATTTATATTTTAGACTATATGATAAAATACAATATACTACTAATGATAGAAACTGATATTTAAACAATTTACCTATCAGACTAAAAATATTATCAATATTCGAAAAAATTTCTCAATTTGAAACTATTCACAGAGATAATTAATCGAAATGAAGTTTATATGGATGCTAGAAACAATAATTTTCTAAATTAAAGATCCATAATAAAAAAGTGAGTAATATGTATATATTTTCGGATAATTTTAGATTGGTTGAAACAAGCTTTCTATGAAATAAATTTCAAGTTTCCAGGGATTCATCATCTCAGAATAACTAGTGAATAGTGATTCAGAAATTTTGATCATTATTATTTAATTTTTAGGATAGTTGGCTAGAAGTAGAGTCTAGAGTGTCCTATGTTGGGCTTGTCAGCTGAATGTGCTTACATCCTAGTTTTGATGTTAACGCTGAAACTAAAACGTAGTACTGTAGTGAACGTGAACACAAGTGGGTACAATCGAATTCATTTGAACAGAGAATTACAGAGTCGCTTAGTAAAATCTGAGAACCATACAGTAAATACTTCATTAATTGTCTCAGACTTCATTGTTCTAGTATTTTCATATCAATTGCTTTCTGTTCCCGTTCTTTCCTCCTCGATCTTCTCAACCTTCTGCTGCCAGACATTATATTCCTGACTAGTGTTATATATTACGTATGTCGATATAAGTAGCACACACCACAGTACCTATCGAATTTAACCACACTATCGTTACTGAAAACTTGTGATTATGTGGTAAAACTAACACAATCCTTCCAGGATACCCGTATATGAAAAAGAGACAGATAGACGGGATACAAATCCTTTCAGACACAATATCATCTAAGCTTAGAGTAAACGATAAGACAAACAATCAGTAAGGAAGAGCTTTAAAGGCGAATACAGAATATATTATTCACACCATATAATATAGTTCATCCCTTCATATTATTTAGTCATAACACATACAGTCAGTTATTAGTATGAAGCTTATTTTTTCTTACAGAAAGCTATTTTTCATTATGTATTAAATGAAAATCGATCAGTTTTATACGCCTACACAGTGGACTAACATCATTTTGTAGTGTTGAATAAAGTTTTGACACACTTGAGTGATACTATTTAATTAGACTTATTCAATAACTTTATTTAAAGATTTAGTATGGAAGTCATTTAGACTAAATGAGAACAGTTAGACACGATACAAGTTGAAAAATGTTATCGTGACATCTTAGCATTTATTTTAGTTCAAATTTTATGTAATAGAATTCAGGCTCAGCGATAGGGAGATTATTTGTTTTATTAAAAAAAATTTGAAATAAACGGAAAAACGGATGCTTAATTTATAAAGAAGTCCCATACTTAAGATATCTTGTTGAATAAATATATTTTCATTAGGCATAAATCATTTCTAAAATCATTCAATACAGTTGGAGCAGTGGATTACTAAGTCATAGTAACAAAAATTTTTGAAGTGATATGTTTTATATCACTTACTTGAATTTATGCAATTGTAAATAGGTAATAAGGGAAAATGCCATTGATAGGGTGAAAAAAAATTACTAAAAGAACTTACACGAAATGCTGTTGAAACAGGAATTTGTTTTCCACTATATGCTTGATATGCATAATGTTTACTTAAATCTATTCGTACGACACCCGTGGGTAAACCTTTAGTATCGATTCGCGCTAATGTTTGTGGTACACGTGCATCTTGATCTAGTTCAATAAATAAATCATCCATTCGTTGAATACATTTTTCTCCAATGTTTGAACATTTTGTATTATCTTTAAGTTCATACCTTAGTAGAAAAAAAATACAATATTTATTACTCAATAAAATAAACGAATAAATAAAATGAATAAACGAACGAAGTATCGAAATATTTTCCTACTGATTCCTAACAATTTTATAATAATCAACACTGCAAGTCATTTGCTTATTTGTGAATAAACGTATTCATTGTTTTCGAAATATTTAGAGAATCATTTAATGATTATCTTTCTGAAATCTATTCCACGATATTTATGATCTCTACTGGGCATTTTATTAATGACAGATATACACAACTATCATAAAACTTGGAACATGTTATACATCCATTTTTTCCCTCTCTACGTATGTACTGATTAGTCATTGAAGAACAAACATAATTCATCAACTAAATTATAGTTTCTCAACAAAATATGGCTTTCAAAGCCATGAAGCTGAAACTTGGAGAACTACAACAACCACAATCAAGAAAGTACAAGTATTTATAAATAGCTGTCTACGCAAGATACTCAACATCCATTGGCCGGATACCATCAGCAATAGCCTTCTGTGGGAGAGAACAAACCAACTTCCAGCTGAAGAGGAAATTAGGAAAAGACGATGGAAATGGATAGGACATACATTACGCAAATCGTCAAACTGCATCACGAGGCAAGCTCTAACTTGGAATCCTGAAGGGAAGCGGAAAAGAGGAAGGCCAAAGAACACATTACGTCGGATAATAGAAGCAGATATGAAAAGGATGAATTACAACTGGACGGAGCTAGAAAGGATTGCCCAGGACAGGGTTAGATGGAGAACGCTGGTGAGCGGCCTATGCTCCTTCACGAGGAGTAACAGGCGTAAGTAAGTAAGTAAGTAACAAAATATGGAATAATTAATTGTTCTCATAATAACCGTTACTAGATATTGCAGGTTTAAAACAAACTGTAGAATTTCAACAAAAAGTGACTAACAACCTGCCTGATAGGACATAACAGTGATGAAGGTGGGAAGCTGCTACTGAATTGCAATGATAACGAAAGTTTCTATAACCATATAATATATTTGTAAAAGTACTAATTCTGTGAGGAAATGTGAACACAATTAATCATGACGTAATAAAAAGATTATAATACTAGATCACGTAATACGAATAATAACAATAGATTTAGTGAATATAATAAGATGATTAAAATGTTTTTATTATAATAGTTAAAGGTCATAGAGGTGTACAAAAATAAATAAGGTGATATGATGAGCATTTACGAATAAAATAGAGAATATAAGACATAAGTAAATAAGAAATTATTATTGTATTAAGTCATGCATTTTTCGTTATAATTTTCTCCCGTGCCAAATAATAGAGTCTGCTAGCATGTATAATGTGTATAATAAGCAAAACTATGGCTTCTGTAGAATTTTCACTCAGTCCTAAACTGTCAATAAAGAAATCTTAGGAAGATTGACTAAACGCTTAGTATCGTTCTGTTCTTTCCTATATTCTCTCAAAGCATAAACTCGAGTGATAAAATATATATAAAGTACAAGACTACAACACTCCATAATTTACACACATTTACCAACGGAAAAAGACAAAAGAACAGCTAATGAGTAAAATAACCGTCAATAATTAAGACGATGTAAAAACATCACAAACCATTTTTATTCACTAAATAATTTTTAGTAACATACATACTGCATTTTTGGAAAATAGTTTCCAAAGTGTTACATTTTCATCTATTCGCCTTGCTTTGATACGTTTGTAGGGATATTTTATATCAAGCGTGGTCTTCATCTTGATTTAATATCAATGTTAGAATCATCGAAACCAAATAAATATTAGACAGTTAGTTGATTGTAACATGAACGATAATAATCATTTTAAACCTAAGGAGATATTAGTCATCCAGTATAGGACCATTCAATATTCAAATCAAGCACAATACTTCTACAACAGTGAATTGAAACACGATAGCCCACATTTTCAAGTTCAGTATATCTGTTTTATTACATGATACACATCCAACAAAACCAATAAACTACTGCTATCTCATTTACAACCTGATATATTGAATCTTGATTTATTAACCTATAGATAAAATGCTTACAGATAGACCTGAAAATTATACGTATGATGTTGCTTATTCTCGTCAATGTGTTCTGTTGAATGATTTTTTTTTTAAAAAAAGAAGTAAATCAGCAATTCATTCTAATTTACATTAATATCCCGGTTGAAGTTATTTTATCATTAAAATCACTTATAAATTATTATCAATATTACCGCTATAAAACCCTAGATAATATTGATTTTTATGAAAAATAAGAAAATGTTTTAAATGATTTAAATAAATTTAAAAAGATTCAAATTGAAATCAACATGCAAACGAATAAAGTTTGATTTAATCTTATTTACTTATTTTTTTTTGTTTTTACAAGAAGAGAGAATATAAAATAGTAATACATTATAGGTTGTTTTATATTCAAGGAAATATATTCAATATTCACATCGTTTTTGTTTCTTCTCGTGTGATTGTTTTTTCTTTTTGTATCAATAATTATTTCGGTACATTTTTCCGATGACGTTTCAGATCTGTTAGAAATTATGATTTATGGATAATACCATAATGAATAGATAAATAAGTATGATGATAAAAATAAATATATTAACTCTTTTTCATTCTTACTCATTAATGATCGGATATGAACGAGGATTAGACAGAAAACCGTAAGGAAAATAATTACTATGTGACACTATAGTGTTTAGTCTTTTAGTGTGATATGGTTATAGGTAATTGAAAGAAAGCAACGTATTAACTTCCTGGTACTTTTTAGATTCTTAATCTGAACATGATGAAATCTGATAATTGAATACAAATGGTTCTGTTCACTTAACTGTACATACTGTGACCAATGTCTATTATAAGTAAGTTTTGAACATAAATAGTTTCCATATGATAACTACTATCATATCTATTTTTCCTAAATAAGACCAATTTTTTTCCGAAACAAGCTATAAATTGTTCAATAAAAGTTCAAGTCATATGGAATCGGCTGAAAATAGTCACAAAAATCAGTGTTAGTTCAATACTTGACTTCTCTGATGATGACCTAAAGAGAATGAACACCAATTAATTCATCAGATCCTATAAAATCAAATATATCGGATACACAGCAAATTTAGTCTGTTAGAGAATCTATTGAATGAAATATTTGGAAATTAAAATAACTCGGTACTTACGTAGTTGATTGTCATTAGTCTTACGAACTTTTGTTTGGTGTTTGGTTCTCTTAGATGGATGGGTTAGTTGCAAATCATTTATTGTCGTTTGAAAAAAATCATATATATATATATATATATATATATATATATATATATATATAATGATGTTATGTTATCCAAGAGCTAGCCTTCTTGAAGTCTAGTGAGTAGTCTCAACCAGGAAATGTAAGCCACTTAACATTGATGTTTCGTAGCTGTGAAGGGTTTCCAGAACCTTTTGAGAGATGTAAACGGTACTTAGCTACCTAGATTTTAGAGCATTTATGTCAGTTTATGTTGTATTTGTTCACTGAAACCGAAAATACTGTATACACTGTAGCTATCGGTTATGTAAAGAAAATTGTAAGTTGTTAGAATATGTTTAAAGATCCTCTGTAGAAATGATTCTAAGAATCTGAAATTTTTCTTATAAGATTTAATTGACTGAACCAAATCTATCTTCTTTATCATACTTAATCATCTTTGATTAGATTACCTGATTTCAAATTCGGATTTCAAACGCGTTGATTTTTCTTATATACTGCTACTGGGCATTAGTCAAATAAGCCATAAACAAATGGAGCTTTTTGTGTCAAAAGTATTAACACCTTTTATTGTAAATTTGTTGAATAGATGGTTGAATGGATAAAGAGACTTAATAAGATCAATACAGGCATTCTTATTTATTGTCTTTATCAACTAAAACTCAGAATTCGTTTAATATGGCTAAGTAGGTAACATGATATTGATTATCAATTGGTTATTGATTAATACAGTATATACTTTGATGAGTATCAAAACAAAATATTCTTATTAAACTGGATAATTATTTCATTCCTTTAATTAGTTTTAAATTATTCTTGTTTATGATTCCATACGTTGTATTGCTTTTTTCAACAAACATTTCATATATAAAGACTATTCAAAACAGACTTAAATATAGATAATATATAATAAACCATAAATGAATTATTCTGTTTAGTATAACGACGTTTTCATGAAAACCAATCTATCAGTATTCAGCCAACTTCGAATATTTTTTCTGTTAAATTATGAAAGTATAGTTAGACCAAAAGATATATTTATTTGGAAAACAAAAGCTGCAGGTTAATAGAATACAGCTGGTAAAATAAACTCAAATACGGAGTGGAAGTGTATATTTATTGTCTTTTGTTTAGTTTACCATTCAAATGTGCTTTTTGTTCATAAAAGGTTAACAGATAGAAGTAAGATTATATTTCATTTGATTTACTATGTCATTAAACGCAACGCATGGTTTATTTCACACTTCAGGTTTTGAAATGACTATTCTCTTTGATTTACTGTAATTGTGATATATATTCTCAAGCCATTAGGAACATGAGATATTCGGAAACACACAATTGAGGTAAAAAATATCAAAACAAGTCCCATTAGTGATCCTGTATAACAATTATGCACTGAATACGAATGTAGCGTTGACTGAATTGATTTTGTACTAGCATGTATGTGATTATCTTAACAAATGATATTCAGATGTTATATCTTTTTAAATGAATTCTGAATGGAGATTAAAATTATTTTACAAGGTATTCAAAATCAATTTTTACCAAAATATGATGGAAATTAACGATAGAGACAACCATATATGGTTATGAAATTCAATTCCAAAGTAATTAATTTTGAATGATTTATGATAAATAGATTACTACTTAACGATGTCTAATTTCAACAGAACAAGTAACCACTAACTATGGTAAATAATTTCAATGTTTTCTGAATTCAACATACACCATTCCGAATTAAGT